GAGGGACAGAGGAGAAGGTAAGATGGAGGGAGGGAGGAAAGAAGGAAGGGTAGAGGGAGTGAGGGATGGACAGAGGAGAGAGGGAGGGATGGAGCAAGGAAGGAAGGGTAGAGGGTGGGAGGGAGGGACAGAGGAGAAGGTAAGATGGAGGGAGGGAGGAAAGAAGGAAGGGTAGTGGGAGGGAGGAAAGAAGGAAGGGTAGTGGGAGGGAGGGATGGACAGAGGAGAGAGAGGGAGGGATGGAGCAAGGAAGGAAGGAAGGGTAGAGGATGGGAGGGAGGGAGAAGGTAAGATGGAGGGAGGGAGGAAAGAAGGAAGGGTAGAGGGAGGGAGGGACAGAGGAGAGAGAGGGAGGGATGGAGCAAGGAAGGAAAAAAGAAGGAAGAGTAGAGGGAGGGAGGAAGAGAGGGAGGGAGGGAGAAGGTGGGATGGGGGAAGGAAGGGTAGAGTAGAGTCAGGGAGAGAGGAAAGAAGGAAGGGACAGAGGGATGGAGGAGAGGTGGAATGGAGGGAGGGAGGCAGGGAGGGTAGAGGAAGGGAGGGATAGAGGATGGAAGGGAGGGAGGGGTAAAGGAAGGAAGGAAGGAAGGAAATAAGATGAATCATATGGGCATCATATTTGGTTCTTTCAGGCTCTCATGTCAGGCAAAAATATTATGTCAATGGAGCACCACGTAAACAGTTGACAAGAAAAGCATTTTACCCATGTATTATATTACCTACATTGCCTTGAAGCATTATGCTGCAATCACTACTACCCTATACCAGCTTTTCCTATCTGTGGAAAGACGGAGGAAGGTTGGTGCAAAGAGTGGGGATTTATTTTTGTTCAACAATCCGAACATTGAATCCACACAGCCCTTTCCCATCCCGATCCCCCCTATTTTCTCTCTTTGGTTCAGTCCTTTCCTTTTGCAATAAAAAAAAGGTTGAAGCAGCCTGATAAATGGTATCGCTCACCGAAAGATAGAGACAACTGTGAAACTGACAAATTAAAAAATAGAAGCCCTCGCATGGAATTGTTTGTCAGAATTATTTTTTCCCCCAGGCTACAGGCCCTTGAGGTAACAGGATGGATAGCAGACTGGCTGAAATAGCCCTGACATTTCTATAAAACTGTAAGCACGACAGGCATCAAAACCAGGGGGGGGGGTCATTCCACTGATGACGTTGGTTAAAAAAGAAAGAAAGAAAGTGTGGGAAGTTATCATCCAGCCTTCTCCCAGAAAAATGAAATATCCTAGGAAACATTGAAAAGGCAGAATATTTCTCTGGATATGAAAAGAAANAGGAACCCATCTCTGAAGCAGCCTTAAGAAAGATCTAACCATCTGAAAATATTTTTTTTAATTTGGTTTGTCAAGTATGTATGAGAAAACAAGTATGAATATAACATATAAACATATAAGTATAAGCAGGTATAAGTATATACATAAGAAATGAGTACAAATAAATGGGAACAGTGTAACAGGGATGGTAGGCACAGAGGACAATTGACCAATTGACCTTCAGAAGTTTTGTGTGTTCCAACATTGGAGGTTTTCATTAAGAGATTGGGCAGGCTTTTGTCTGAAATGGTATAGGGTTTGCTGCTTGAGCCAGGGGGTTGGACTAGAAGACCTCCGAGGTCCCTTCCAACTCTGTTATTCTGTTAGTCCTTCATAGCTGCTCTGCTGATGCTAAAAGACAGCACGTACTTATCATCTCAATATCTTCATTGTCTAGTCCTGAGGCTGGTCGTTGTCTCTGTTGCCATCAATTCCGTTTACTTTCCATTTAATTTTAGCCCCCTTCTTTTCACTCTGCTTGACTTTTAATAAAAATCACTGGGTTTAACTTTTATTACTAGAGTTTGCAGGTTGGTTGTTTTTTCCGCTATCAGATTAATGTCGTCAGCGTAAGGCAGGCTATTGATATTTCTTCTTCCAATTTTAAAACCATACTCATCTTCTTCCAATCCAGCTTCTTTTAGTGCCAAATCAAATATATATATATTTTTCTCCTGGTCCATTCAATTTCTATTCTGGCCATATCTGATTTGAGAAGTCTAGAGACTAAAGCGTTAACTTCATCTCTCTGAGAAAAACGTTGTGCTGTCCAGAATGAAATGAAGTTGTTTATATTTGGAAATATTAAAGCTCGCTGAATTAAAATTAAAGTTTATTTCTTTTGGGATAAAAAGAGCTCCGTTTTTTTGAACCAAGGGTTTCACATTTTAACCAAATCACTCAGGGTTACAGCATGAATGCTGCAACTTTGGTCATCCCAATTATAAATGTCAAATCATATTAAACATAGCAATATTTAAATGAGGCAATGCCAAAAGTGAACCCTTTGAAAAAGAAAACTCTCCAAGGCCTTCCCTAGCTCCCTGCTTAAAATTCTGCAGAATAGATACCTAAGCACTTGCAGAATAATGAGTGATGAAATCATCACATTAAATATGAAATTGTTCCCACGTGCCTTAAAATATTGATTGAGTACATGTATCTAATCAATACATTAAGGTTTTGTATAACAGCAGCAAGTTTGAGGGACATTTACCGCATTCTGCTTTTGTGAGGTTTTTTTTTTTTTATCCTTTGGGACGATTTTGGCATTAAATTGCATATTAACATATATTTGCATCTGCAGTTCCTAGTCAGGCAATTCTCTATAGGCCCCTAAAATGAGAGTTTAGAGGAATATTGATGGTTTTCAGGGTCTGAAAAAAAGCATCACATCTTTGGAGTGACAAATCAGTGTGTTAAATAAGGAAAAAGGAAGGAAGGAAGGGAGGGAGGGAGGGAGGGAGGGA